ACATATTAAGTGTTTAAACCATACGGAGTATTACTTAGCAGGATTATTTAATTTGACTTTTGTACTTTATCTTTCTAATTTGACCTATTATTTTAATCAAAGAAGGTTTGCACTGTAACTTACCATATTTAAGATGTAACTTAAGATTTATAAATTTATATTAGGTGATAATTCACTATATTGATGCATGAAAATAAAAAATACGGATGAAGTATGGCTCGATTCTCTTTTCTTCATTTTTGCAATCATACAAAGAAATTTAAAAAAATGATATTCTTAGAGATGAAGCGATATAACATGGACTTTCACAAAAAATATTTCTATAAGGAAATTAATATTTGGAGGTCGAAAAACGCGTGAAGATCTGTGACAATTAAAATTTAGATGCAAGAATAATCAGTATTTTAAGGAGAAGTACGAAGAATATTTTATGTGCAGAAGTGAATAAGATTTAGGTTAAACTACAACATCAAAGAGAAATATAATTTTTAAATTGTAACTCTTTGTATTTTATAAAACATTATGTATTGACCAAAATACTTTCACACACTCAAATGATTGAATATTTAAAAAAGAGAGCAAAAAAATGAGTAAAAATTGTGAAATAGTTTTTGTAAAATTTCATTAAAATCATAGAATCACTAATGTTTTTTTTTCATTCACATAATTTTTTAAATAATACGAGGGAGAATAATCATTATATTTTTAATGTATTATAAAATTTATATTTCTTATCATATGATTGTTAATTTATGTTTTCCCACTTTTAATAATACAAGAAAAAAGATTCAATTTTTAATTAGTGCAAAGGGCCAAGGAGAGAAAGAATCACATTAATACATCATAGAAATTAAAATCATAAATTAATCTGGCGGAGAAGAATCATGATTTTTTTATATTAAAATTACAAGATCGAAAATCTAAGTTTGTTAAATAAATGAAGGGGAGAAGAATAATAAAATCACCAATGTTTTTGTCGTATATTTTTTGAATTCAGGGGGTGAGAAGAATTATATATTTGTAATAATTTAGTAAACCTAGATTGTGTGTGTGTGTGTATGTGTGTGTGTGTGAAATTTAAATGGTATATAACATAAAAAAAATTAAGTTGTTTAAATATTTGATATTGTATAATAAAAAACAATTTAAATGGACATTCAATTTAAAATATTGTCATTTGAATGTAATGATTTTGTGCATGTTTGTACACTGTTGAATTTCAAATGAGAAGCTTGCTTCATGCACATATCTTAATATGGTCACACTAGAGGGATAAACTTCAATTGCTTGAGTCAATTGATCGTGTGACATGTGTAGAGGTTCATAATAAAGATAAATATCCTAGATTTCATGAGTTCGTAACTCGATTATTGATGCATGATCCATGTAGCATAAATGATCCTAGATCTCTATATATGGAGAATGATAAATTTATGAAACATTTTCCCAAAAAATTTCTTGATAAGACATCGTTTGATGGGAATAATTACCTGATATACAAAAGAAGAACTTTAGAGGTCACCACAATATAATGAAAAAGAATATCGAGTTGGATAATCGAATTGTTGTGACATACAACCCACAACTCTTGATGAGGTTTCAAGATCAAACAACATTGGACACTGAAATAAATCTAATTCAATCAAATATCTCTTTAAATATGTAAATATAAATCTAGATAAAGTAACTGTTACAGTTACCCAATCTAACTTTGGAATTATTGATATTATGGTGTATTATGAAACAAATAAGTATTCTGGTTGTCATTACGTATCTGAATGTGAAGCCTCTTGGATAATCCTCTCTTTTGATATACAACAAAGGTAGTGATCAGTACTGAGATTGAATTTTTATAACCTAAGGCTAAAATTCGTAACCTTTAGACACCAACAAAAACTAAAAGATGTTGTCGAAGAATTTATTGATAAAGCCTCAATGTTTGAAGCTTGGATGATTTTCAATACAAAATATAATGCGGGATAAAATTTGACGTATGCAAAGAGTTTCGAGAATATTTTATGTACAACCACAAAGTGCGGAAATAGTTCAAAGGCAACAACGACCGTCAATAGGCAGACTACAATACGTGCTTACAGAAACTAGAGAGTTATACTACTTGAGAAGTATTAAATGTCCAACAAGGATGTACAAATTA